GAAAATAAATTAAGTGTTTCTTATAACTTTAACAATTAATTCCTACAATTTAATAGTTAAGTTTAATGAAAGTTAATTACAAAAATCAAAATGTAACATAAGGATGACCAATTTCAGTTTTTTTCTTTCTTTGATATCCACCAAAAAATTATAATTCCAAACTAAATGTGTTATTGTGAATTTTTAACTGTTTGAAAATATATATTTTATTTATTAAACCAAGCAATATATTATACAAAAACACTTAAAACTTTAGATAATTACGATTTGAAAACAAAAAGTCACAAAAGCTTGGATAAAAAGAATCGTAACGTTAACAAAAAAATACTGTGAGAAAATTAATTAGTGATTTTAGAAATTTTAAGGTTGTTAAAATGCTAAAGTTGTCAATCATCTCCTAACCAATACTCTCGAAAGGAAACTTTACTCCTCCACAAATTGTAAAGCCAGAAAAACATAATAATTCACAAATGAATCGATGTGAAAGATAAAAGTCATAGAAAAGCAATAAAAAGAATGAGACAAAAAAATACAATCAAACATCAATTATTCTTTCTTTACAATTTAAGGTTCTAACGAAATAAAACACAAAGATGTATTCCAACATATCTCTTAAGATAATGCAGATGTCTATATAGAAGCAAAACATATTACAAGTTGTCTAATTTTTTTACAAACGTATTTGGTGCAAGAAAAAAGACGACCAATCATTTTTTTAGAGAACCGCAGTGAATATTGATAAATCAAAGACATACAAGTTGCGGATTTGTGAAAAAAAAGATATTTTCCATATGCATTTGCTGTAGTTTTTATGAATGAACAATCTATTTCTTTTCACATATATCATTAATTGTATATGTCCAACAATTTACTCCAAGTGGTTAATCTTCTAATCTAAATTATTACTTAGTACAACAATAATTTTTGGTAATATTAAATACACAAATAATCAATAAACTAAAAATGTTGCATATTTTACCTTGTTAATTTTTAAATTCACGCAGCGCGTGGACAATCTCTAGTTTATACTAAAAAAAGAAAATGAGATTTAGTAGGTTTTTCCTATATCATGAAGTGGGCCAATG